AAGCCTCAAACAGTGGCTGGTGCATACTGAATGCTCCAAAAATGTCAAAAATACTGGGTGCTGCTCTTACTAAATAGTTCTCAGTACACATAACCAGAGGATTTTAGAGGTGGACGAGACCTTCCGTGTCATCCAGTTTGATCCTGTATAGGAACTCTCTACAGTGTCTCTTCTAAGTGTGTTGAAACAGCATCTGTTGTCCACATACCACCTGTGGCAGGAACTGGCTGCTTTAATGGAGTGTTTGTTATATCTCAGGGGTGCCCACTTCACACTGAAGCCAAACCCCTCACTGCTCTGCCAGTTAACCTGGGTTCTGTCTTCTGAGTAAATGCAGTCATCACTCCCCCATACAACACCCTACCTGTCACAGCGCCTCAGGCCACTTTCCCTGGGAGTCTCTGCCACCAGTTTCTGCCAAGGATTCCCCAGCCTTTACTGTCCCGGCCACAGGAGCCCAGGGCAGCAGGGAGCTGGACACCGCTGCATAAGTGAAATCCCTAAATGTACCTACTGTATGGAGTCACTCTTTGAATAACAGTCCCAGGGAGGGGAAATGCTACATTTGCTTCCAAAGTCCTACTCATTGCAAATAATTTATAGAAGAGATTCCTCCCTGCATGATAAAAGCCCTTGATGGGGGAGGCCACGTGCTGAACTGAAAAACCAAGGACCAGTTTTGTGGAATAACCCTAATCTCCTTAATTATGATGGCAAGCAACACAGGGCTCAGACCAGATGTGCTGGGTTGAAATCTCAGTGTTGCTATTAACTAGATGGCTTTGGCCAAGTCATTTAATTCTCAACTTGCCTAATGATTCAGGTAAGGGTGGTGGGGGGGTGGGCGGGAGTGATGCCGGGGTTGGTTCTTGTTCACGAAGCCAAAGAATGAAAGGGTTGGGGGAAAAAGAAGGCAGGAAAGACAGGAACCAATCACAAAAGCGAAAGTGAGGCAGGTGGACATATTTCTGACAACAAAGACAGAACAAGCAGAGATCTATTTCCTTTAAGTTGCTTGATGTGAATGGTGACCTGCTGGCATTCCATTTCCCACAGCATTTGTTATAGATTATAACTGCTGGAGTGGGAAGGAAATTTGAGATCACCTTGCCTAACTCTCATCTGACAGATGGAGAAACTGAGGGGCAGGGTGGCTGAATGAGCTGACGTCACGCCAGAGCCGGACTGCACTAGTCTGGTGTTCCAGCTACTGTACAATGCTGCTAGTAGGAAAAGCTGTCAGGAGCATCACTAGTTGGTCCTTTCTTACTTGAGGACTTACACTCATTGTTGCATTAATCTCTGCCACCGTTTCTTCATCTGTGGGGAACTGATATATCTGGACTCCATTGCTGACTAGTTCACTCATGATCTTACTCTTGAATTTGTGCAATTCATTCTTGGCAATGGTGTCAGCTTTTGCAATTATTGGAATGATGTTCACCTATAAAACAAACACATCTATTTTTACACAATTCCAACATAAGAAAAACAGACAAATGGGTAAAACATAGCAAAAAATTATATAAAAACTGTAAAACTTCACTTCAAAAAAAAGAGATATTGAAAATCAGACTTTCTACCCAGATGCAAAATTAAGAAGATATGGGATAATCTTTTAGTTCCATCTGCGAGCACTTTTACTTCCTCTCATCCGGCACAGAAAGCATACTTGTAATTTCCTCTTCTGTGCTACCAGTTAAGAGGAAGTGTCCCTCTATGACAAACAGCAATAACAAAGAAGTCTATTCTTTGAATAATCAGCCACTCCCTTTAGACTCCTCCAGCTACTTTAGGAGCTTGATTTTTGCATGTTCCTAACAGTGTAATAACAAAGGTTTTGATAGTTAAAATAGTGGAATAGTCAGCTTCACATAGGACAGCACCCTTTTCTTTCTTATGATGATCTGAAAACTACCAGCAGAAGAGAACTGAAGTATTAACCCAGGTAAAAATGGTTTGGGCTCCTTTTAAATTTTTCAAAATCACATCAACTAGTTCTTTTCAAAATCAACTTCTCTCACATTACTCCTTCGGGCCAGAATGAGACCTCGTGCCAAAGACAAGGCTCACTTTCAGAGCATCAGTCACCAAGACCAGGAGAACAAGGGTGTAGAGCCCAGGATGAGAGCCATGGGCACCCTCGGACTCAAGCTCCAGCTCCCAATGGGGACCATTCTCCTCCCATTTTCCCCAGCACTGTGCACAGCACACAGGTAAGCAAATTCCTTTTTTTAAGATTAACTTTCCTCTAGTCCTTTGTAGGTACAGAGGTTTCAATAAGATGCTACTGACATCTGACAGCTGGAGCCATGCTCTCCACCCAGCTCAGGGAAAAAGGGAAGGAGGCAGCAAGCAGCAGCCCTAGCCAGAGAAGACAGTCTTCAGGGAGGTGTTCTGGGTTGCTTCTGCATTCCTTTGCTTCTCCTTGTATTTCAAGAGCCAAATCAAAATTCCTGGTAAACCAGAATGAGATGACACGCTGATAGAAAAATGTATTCTTCACCTTATTTATTCCTCAACCCACTCCTAATCTCATCACACTTAGACTTTGTCTGCTAAGTTACATACTGAGAGAAACATCATTGACAGTGAGGAAATGTTTGGAACAAGGACCCGAGGAACAAAAACTTCCTCGTACACAGAGTATTCAGTTAATATAGATACAGACAAAATGGCAGAGAATCACAGTTTCTTGGCCAACTTGATCAGAGATATACACAGATCAATCTTAGATTTAAAAATACCTTTTTTTGCAGTATAGGTGCTTTATTATCTTTTCTGAAATCATTATATATCTGCCTTACTCTTCACTGTGCTTATATATATGAACCTTGAAATTAATGTTTTCAGATACTATCTAGCACCCCAACCATATGGAAATATCAATTCTTTGAAAGCAGTTTAACCTGTTCTGTGTTTTTGCCTTTTATTCTTTTTTTTTTTTAGCTGTGTTTGTTTTGCCTTTTATTCTTTCCCTTTTTATATCAACTCCACTAAGGATAATCCTATTGTTGGATATGAGCCTGGCTTGGTCTACAAACTTCCCACCCTCTCTGCGCAGGGCCCTTCCCAGCCCGGCTCTCAAGGATATAGCAGTACAGGGAGCCTGCCTCTGCCCAGGACCCCTCCCCACCATCCAGGACTAATGGCAGCTGAATCAAACGCAATGAAGATGGGTTTCTATTTGTGCTCCTGAGAGTCCTCCCACGCTGTTAGGATATTTCTCTGTAAACCAATCAGCCCACACATGTGGGAAGACCAAGCGGCTGGGCTCTGCTTCGGCCGCTGCTGGCCCTTTGTGACCGGGTCAGACAAGCGCTGGGGACAGGCTGACCTGAGTGTTCCCGCACTATAATGTCCCTCTGGAGAGAGAGCCTCTTTTAAACAGTGTTGTTTGGACAAAAAGTAATACCCAACAAAGCCCTCTAAAGATTGATAAGACTTTTAATTGAACTCAAAAGAGGATTAGAAGCTAAGGGAAAATACCACAGCTTTGTTTTGTGATGCCAGTTAACCTGGGTTCTGTCTTCTGAGTAAATGCAGTCATCACTCCCCCATACAACACCCTACCTGTCACAGCGCCTCAGGCCACTTTCCCTGGGAGTCTCTGCCACCAGTTTCTGCCAAGGATTCCCCAGCCTTTACTGTCCCGGCCACAGGAGCCCAGGGCAGCAGGGAGCTGGACACCGCTGCATAAGTGAAATCCCTAAATGTACCTACTGTATGGAGTCACTCTTTGAATAACAGTCCCAGGGAGGGGAAATGCTACATTTGCTTCCAAAGTCCTACTCATTGCAAATAATTTATAGAAGAGATTCCTCCCTGCATGATAAAAGCCCTTGATGGGGGAGGCCACGTGCTGAACTGAAAAACCAAGGACCAGTTTTGTGGAATAACCCTAATCTCCTTAATTATGATGGCAAGCAACACAGGGCTCAGACCAGATGTGCTGGGTTGAAATCTCAGTGTTGCTATTAACTAGATGGCTTTGGCCAAGTCATTTAATTCTCAACTTGCCTAATGATTCAGGTAAGGGTGGTGGGGGGGTGGGGGGGAGTGATGCCGGGGTTGGTTCTTGTTCACGAAGCCAAAGAATGAAAGGGTTGGGGGAAAAAGAAGGCAGGAAAGACAGGAACCAATCACAAAAGCGAAAGTGAGGCAGGTGGACATATTTCTGACAACAAAGACAGAACAAGCAGAGATCTATTTCCTTTAAGTTGCTTGATGTGAATGGTGACCTGCTGGCATTCCATTTCCCACAGCATTTGTTATAGATTATAACTGCTGGAGTGGGAAGGAAATTTGAGATCACCTTGCCTAACTCTCATCTGACAGATGGAGAAACTGAGGGGCAGGGTGGCTGAATGAGCTGACGTCACGCCAGAGCCGGACTGCACTAGTCTGGTGTTCCAGCTACTGTACAATGCTGCTAGTAGGAAAAGCTGTCAGGAGCATCACTAGTTGGTCCTTTCTTACTTGAGGACTTACACTCATTGTTGCATTAATCTCTGCCACCGTTTCTTCATCTGTGGGGAACTGATATATCTGGACTCCATTGCTGACTAGTTCACTCATGATCTTACTCTTGAATTTGTGCAATTCATTCTTGGCAATGGTGTCAGCTTTTGCAATTATTGGAATGATGTTCACCTATAAAACAAACACATCTATTTTTACACAATTCCAACATAAGAAAAACAGACAAATGGGTAAAACATAGCAAAAAATTATATAAAAACTATAAAACTTCACTTCAAAAAAAAGAGATATTGAAAATCAGACTTTCTACCCAGATGCAAAATTAAGAAGATATGGGATAATCTTTTAGTTCCATCTGCGAGCACTTTTACTTCCTCTCATCCGGCACAGAAAGCATACTTGTAATTTCCTCTTCTGTGCTACCAGTTAAGAGGAAGTGTCCCTCTATGACAAACAGCAATAACAAAGAAGTCTATTCTTTGAATAATCAGCCACTCCCTTTAGACTCCTCCAGCTACTTTAGGAGCTTGATTTTTGCATGTTCCTAACAGTGTAATAACAAAGGTTTTGATAGTTAAAATAGTGGAATAGTCAGCTTCACACAGGACAGCACCCTTTTCTTTCTTATGATGATCTGAAAACTACCAGCAGAAGAGAACTGAAGTATTAACCCAGGTAAAAATGGTTTGGGCTCCTTTTAAATTTTTCAAAATCACATCAACTAGTTCTTTTCAAAATCAACTTCTCTCACATTACTCCTTCGGGCCAGAATGAGACCTCGTGCCAAAGACAAGGCTCACTTTCAGAGCATCAGTCACCAAGACCAGGAGAACAAGGGTGTAGAGCCCAGGATGAGAGCCATGGGCACCCTTGGACTCAAGCTCCAGCTCCCAATGGGGACCATTCTCCTCCCATTTTCCCCAGCACTGTGCACAGCACACAGGTAAGCAAATTCCTTTTTTTAAGATTAACTTTCCTCTAGTCCTTTGTAGGTACAGAGGTTTCAATAAGATGCTACTGACATCTGACAGCTGGAGCCATGCTCTCCACCCAGCTCAGGGAAAAAGGGAAGGAGGCAGTAAGCAGCAGCCCTAGCCAGAGAAGACAGTCTTCAGGGAGGTGTTCTGGGTTGCTTCTGCATTCCTTTGCTTCTCCTTGTATTTCAAGAGCCAAATCAAAATTCCTGGTAAACCAGAATGAGATGACACGCTGATAGAAAAATGTATTCTTCACCTTATTTATTCCTCAACCCACTCCTAATCTCATCACACTTAGACTTTGTCTGCTAAGTTACATACTGAGAGAAACATCATTGACAGTGAGGAAATGTTTGGAACAAGGACCCGAGGAACAAAAACTTCCTCGTACACAGAGTATTCAGTTAATATAGATACAGACAAAATGGCAGAGAATCACAGTTTCTTGGCCAACTTGATCAGAGATATACACAGATCAATCTTAGATTTAAAAATACCTTTTTTTGCAGTATAGGTGCTTTATTATCTTTTCTGAAATCATTATATATCTGCCTTACTCTTCACTGTGCTTATATATATGAACCTTGAAATTAATGTTTTCAGATACTATCTAGCACCCCAACCATATGGAAATATCAATTCTTTGAAAGCAGTTTAACCTGTTCTGTGTTTTTGCCTTTTATTCTTTTTTTTTTTTAGCTGTGTTTGTTTTGCCTTTTATTCTTTCCCTTTTTATATCAACTCCACTAAGGATAATCCTATTGTTGGATATGAGCCTGGCTTGGTCTACAAACTTCCCACCCTCTCTGCGCAGGGCCCTTCCCAGCCCGGCTCTCAAGGATATAGCAGTACAGGGAGCCTGCCTCTGCCCAGGACCCCTCCCCACCATCCAGGACTAATGGCAGCTGAATCAAACGCAATGAAGATGGGTTTCTATTTGTGCTCCTGAGAGTCCTCCCACGCTGTTAGGATATTTCTCTGTAAACCAATCAGCCCACACATGTGGGAAGACCAAGCGGCTGGGCTCTGCTTCGGCCGCTGCTGGCCCTTTGTGACCGGGTCAGACAAGCGCTGGGGACAGGCTGACCTGAGTGTTCCCGTACTATAATGTCCCTCTGGAGAGAGAGCCTCTTTTAAACAGTGTTGTTTGGACAAAAAGTAATACCCAACAAAGCCCTCTAAAGATTGATAAGACTTTTAATTGAACTCAAAAGAGGATTAGAAGCTAAGGGAAAATACCACAGCTTTGTTTTGTGGTTGATCTTGCTGCCACTTGCTTCTTTTTTATTTCAGAATGCATTGTCTTCCATTTATTTCAGAATGGAAAATCAAATTAATTGTAAAGCGAATCACCAAATGTTATCAAACTTATCAGTTCCTTTCTTCAAATGCTGTGGAAGAGGTTATTAATGTGTAAAGCTCAGGGGTCAAACCGAAACTAAGACTCTACTTCTTTCGAACACAAGGGTCCAGTTCAGTTTTTAAGACTAAGAAGCTGGACCGCACTTTCATGTCGTATAAAATTAACATCTTTTTTTTCGCCTAAACTTCCAAGTAAAGCCAAGCCTTTAAAAACCTTTTAAAGAAAGATTCAGATAAAGTTTTTAAGTTAAGCATTGTGAATTTGTATTTCAGTCTCCTTAAATTTAACCCTTCCTGTGACCCTTTAATTGTTTCCACTATATAATCCCGCAGTCCCATCAGAGCATTTATGCGTACTAATTGAAGAACTAAAAATACTTTTTAACAAGCTACATGGATTTGTTTGTTTGTTTTATTCTGTTTCGCCTAACATTCAGAGAGGTTTTGAAGCATTTTCTCACACTGCTAACTAAACCCTATGGTTCTGCAAACCAGAAAAGATAAATTACGGGGTTGGAGAAAGGGGGAGGGATGTTCAAGGCAAGAAACTACTCTGTATGATACTAAAATGGTGGATATACATCTATGAATTTGTCCAAGCCCACAGACTGTACAACACGAGAATGAACCTAATGTAAACTTTGGACTTTGGGTGATAATAACATGTCAGTGGAGGTTCACTGATGGTTAACAAGTGTACTCATGGAAGGGGACTTTAATAATGGGGAAGACTGTACATGTGAGGAGGAAGAGGTGATGAGGAATCTCTGTATTTTCCTCTTAATTTTGCTGTGAACCTGAAACTGCTCTAAAAATATTCTTTAAAAAAAAAAACAAAAACAAATCACACTGAAAACATAGCTCCATCAGGACCTTCAGATAAAGGCTGTCCAAATGGAGAGCGGATGGTAACCAGGATAGCAGTGAGTACCTTGCTGTCCAGCTTTTTCATGGTGACCAGGTCCAGGGACTTCAGTGAATGTCCAGTGGGGGCAATGAAGTAGAGGCATGCGTGGATCCTGGTGTCGTGGTAGTTGAACAGAGAACGTTTGATCTTTAATTCCTCTTGCAAGTAGGCCTCAAATTGGGCATCGATATATTCCACTATCGGCTTATAGCTAGAGTGCAGAGGAATGTTTTTTAGAACACATTTTCAAATCAGCATGTGTCACATCTCAAACCTCTCTCACAGTGCAGCGTGGAGTAGTCCTCCGGTGAAGCCTTCACTGGTTACCCCTTCCTAAGAGCTAAAGCACAAGTTCCTGGCCTAGCGTCCAGGCTGTGCGCTGTCTGGCCCCTGAACATCGCTCCACGCTCCGCCCTCCACTCCCTCCCTGGCTCACCTTTTCAGTCCCAGCAACTCCCAGCTGCCAGCACGGGCGCCACCTAGCAAGCTCTCATCTGCCTCCAGGCCTCCACTCGTGCCACCCGCAACCTGGCAACAGTCTTCTCCCTATTATTCTCCATTAACATTCATCCTTTAAAACAGCGATTATGAATATGTGCAGCAAGCTTTCACTTCCCCCATGGAAGATCATGTTAGGAATGGGCCAACACTAAGCCTCAAAACCTGTCTCAGGGAGGTGATCCAACAGCGTCTCCCAACCGACCGGCATCAGCACACCAAGGGAAACCGATTGGTGATGTCAGGATATGGCGTCACTTCCTTGTGGGAGCTCTTCCCGCATCCTGTGCTCCATCTTCCTGAGAGGTAAGGGTGCTCTGTGCTCTCATAAACCCGTGTGCATGTTCCTTAGCTTCGTTTACAAATGGTGGGCCCTGGACCATCATGAGCTTCAAGATTCCTGCCAACTTCAAAACTGTATGATTTGAAGGTAAACTTTGTAACCTTTTCTTCTCACCAAATCATGGTTCAAATGTGTTTGGAATAATTACATATGATTCTATTAACTGACCATAATCATTAATAGCATACTGAGAATGCATGTTCAATAAGCCATATGGAATTCTATAGGGATTTAGTGCATCAGGTCACTGTGGAAAAACCACAGACGTTTCCAGGTCCCCCAGGGCACTGCTCAGGAGATGCAAGCTGCAAGGGTGTTGGTCTAGTAGGGATACTGTGGGTCCATTCTTCCCAATTTACTACTTTGCTGAGGGATGGTAGAAGTTTTAAGAAAAATAAAAACCTTTCAGCACTCAACTTCCAGACCCATAAGTAATTAGAAATACTTGAAAGGAAGTTTTATAATGAGGATGACAGAAGATACCCAAAGAGAAAAGACAAACAAAGCAACCAAAAACAAACAAACAAAAAAACCAGACTTATGAACCAAAACCCAAAAGCAGTCAGAAAAAAGTTTTTTGATGATATTTCTCCTTGGTGAGTCATCACAATCCTTTGACTCAATTTGAGCAGACAAAATGTCTAGAGGTTTAAAGAAAAAGCAGGATGTGCCTCAGCAAAAATCAAGTTCTAAATATGACAAGAGAAATCCCAGTAAGTTCCAATAGAAAGGATGAGAGCAAGTGGTAAGATTTTTGTATGTTTCCCAATTTTAAAATACAAATATTACATAACAATAGTGATAATCATTATTATTATAGGGTAGTTATATAGGATGGTAGTTAGAATCATAGATTCAAGCCAGATGACCTAAGGCCCAAACTCCAACTCCACAACTTACCATCTATGTGACTTTGGGCAAGTTACTAAACCTCTCTGTGTCTTGATAGCCTCATAAGTAAATGAAGGACAAAAAAAAGTCCTGTATTAAAAGAGCTATTGTGACAAGAAAGTGAGCTAATATATGTTAAGGGCTAGAACACAAGAGTGAGATGTAACTATTTCACAGTAATACAATAAAAATAATATAATAAACAACAAATAAGAGAAAAAAGCAAGCCTGACTTTTAAAAAAGACAGAAAAGACAAAAACAAACAACAAACAAAAAGGAACTTCACATTCACCCAGCTCCATGGTAACTGTTCTGCTACTGAGCTCCTATCCTGCTTGTGGGGAAGCACACCAGGCCACCCCAAGGAGGCCTGCCCAGTCTGCCATTCCTGGCCTGATCTTTTAGTCTACTGACACGGAGGCATGTGCCTGGGAAATCAGAGTCCTTCCTTAGCACCGTTTTAGCCCAAGGAAAGGAAGAGTAGCTCATGAGAAACTGCTCCTTCCTGCCTCTCTAGTTTCTGATTTTCAGCTTCTCAGCACCTCCTCCACAACAGTGGTCCATTTATGTTTCTGCTTTCCATTAATTTCCCTTTTTGTCCCTGGTTTTGATTATGATCATCCAAGATTATGGGAGGCATAACTTCTCTCCCTTTCCAGTGAGGAATGCTTTCTGCCCGGGTTCAACATATCCAAATAAATCTTTTGTTCTCCTCTTACATCTTGGGCTTCTTCTGCCTTCCCCATTAGAGTTCTGGCCAATCTTTCGATCTCCTTCTTTTTCTTCTGTGAGGTCTACCAGGAAAATCACGTTCAGTTCTGTTTCACTTACCATCTAATTGATAGTTGAGTCACAGATCTCTCCTTCTAGCCCAGTCTTTCATCCAAGTTTCAGATTCATCCATCCATTTGTTCCTCTAACTAAAAAGGCTTCCAAAATTGAACTTTTCATCTTGCCACCAAGC